CCCTCCCTCCCTCCCTCCCTCCCTCCCTCCCTCCCTCCTTCCTTCCTTCCTTCCTTCCTTCCTTCCTTCCTTCCTTCCTTCCTTCCTTCCCTCCTCTTTCTTCCTTTTTGATGGTCTCACTCTGTCACCCAGGGGGGAGTACAGTGACCTCAACCTCCCAGGTTCAAGCAATCCTCTCACCTCAGCCTCCCAAGTAGGGGGGGCTTCAGGTGTTCACCACCAGGCCCAGCTAATTTTATTTTATTTTTGTAGAGATGGAGTTTTGCCATGTTGTCCAGGCTGATCATGAACCCCTGGCCTCAAGCCATCCTCCAACCTTGGCCTCACAAAGTGCTGGGATTTACAGGCATGAGCCAACATACTTGGCCAGCTTTCTTATTAATGTATCCAGAAAAAATTATTAGTTATCTCCTTTGTAAAGTTTTCTCTGAAGTTCCCAGGCAAAATGAATAAATGTGCCTTCTATGTTTCCATAGCATTTTGCCTGTGATATTACTAAGGAAATTTTATGCTTCATATTATAATATTTTTTTCTATAGTATAGGCTCCCCTCATCCTATCCCTTTAAGATAATCCCGCTCATAATGTTAATTCTCTATGAGTTAGAGCAAGGTCTGACACGCAAACGTGCCAAATAACGGTTTGCTGGATTAATAAAATATGTATATTATTTTTACTAACTTTGCTAAATGTTTATCTGTCTTAATGAAATATGGATGTAATAACTTGTGCTAAAGGAGAATGTCAAAAGTGATTAATAATAATTATTTTATAAGAATATATATTAAAATTAGCAAAAAGTTAAATTTTCACAAAAGGCAGGAATGAATTTCAAAATATATAAAAAGTCTGATAGTATTTGATTTCTATTATTTTTGATTATCTGAGGAAGGTAGAACTAGTTGTCCAGAATATTCTGTCCCATAGTTCAGTGAGGAAGCTTCTTTTGGGTGACATACAACATTCTTCATGTCATAATGTCACATGTTCTCTCCATATATGGGAGCCAAAAAAGCTGATGTCATGAAGGTAAAGAGTAGATTAATGGTCACTAGAGGCCAAGAAGAGTAAAGGTAATAGGGGATGAAAACAAGATGGCTAATAAGTACAAAACTACAGCCAGAGAGAAGGAATAAGTTCTAGTGTTTGACAGTACAATAGACAGACAGTAGTTAACAATGATGTACTGTGTATTTTAGAATAGCTAGAAGAGAATGTTTGGAATGTTCTCAGCACAAATAAATTGAGGTTATTAATATCCTAATTACCTTGATTTGATTATTATATGCATGTATGAAAATATCACATGTACCTCATACATATGTACAATTATTATTTAGCAATAAAAAATAAAATAAAATTTTGCATATGTAAGAAAAATTATCCAGGTTATGAAAAACCAGTGTCATTAGAATTTGCCCCTAAGAGAAATTTGATAATTATTAGAATAATAAGAAAAGTCACTCAGGGGCATGTCTATTTTAGCATATAATAGGGTGAATAAATTCTCCCTTGTTCACGCTACTTCTAGATTTTCTTTTACTTTACACCATCTGTTGGTCTGCATCCTGTGTTGCTTTTTGCATCATTTTGTAAGGCAGAAGCAGAACACCTGCTTCACAGATGGTCCAAGGCTCAATCAGACACCCAGATGCAAAACTGATGAAAAGAGAATTGGCCAAATTTGAGGTGAGTAAAAATATATTGAATGCAATTAACAAATTTTCATGCATACAGAGAATAATGAGGAAAACTTATTAAGGATCTGCAGTTTAATTATTTTTTAGGCTCTGTACAATGAGCTGTCTCTTTTTTTGTGGTTATATAGACTAAATTTCTGGATCACCTCACTTGATCACAACCAGCGAAAATAAATCTTGGAGCAGAGCTGGCAATATATCTATGATGTCAGTGGTGGCCCCTCTGGAATGGGCTGCAGCCCACTGGCTGCAGCAGCGGAGGTGTGGCCAGGGTTAGGTGTTCCAGGTGGGATCCCCACACCCCTGGGCACAGCCATAGCTGCCCAGCTGCTGCCCCAGACCCAGGCATGCGTGTGCTCTTGGAGGCCCAGGAAGCCCCTTGACCCTGCAGGCTTGAAAGTGCTTCTTCTCACTGCCTGGCCTCTCCCCATTCCTTGTGCCCACTCCAGGCGAGAGCAAAGCTGTGGCTGAGCCCAGCTACTGTCACAGTCTAGCAGGTTGTGTGCACATTTAGGGGCAGTGCTGACCCATCAGCTTCCTGCCATCTCGGTTCCCTCAGGACTTTGGGTGCTGATGAGCATGGGAGAAAAGCTGAGCAGGGGCTTCATGACAGCTCTTCCAGGGCCCTCAGGTGCCCATTGGCATAAAGAGCCTGAGCGTCATGAACAACATGTTGATGGCAGAGGGAGACAGGTTCCTGGGCAGAAAGGGGCAGTTCACTGGAGAAATCCCACCTTCAAGCCGGGGACAACCTGAAGCCTGAAGGCCAAGCTGTCAGTTCCAGGTGGAGTCCACAACCTGGAGTAAGAATTTATGGTGCTTTTTCTGGGCCTTCCCATGGCTGCCCATGGACTAATCAGCATGCACTTCCTCCCTTCTGAGCCCATAAAATCTCCCAGACTCAGCCAGACTCACACAGACTTTGGGATCACCTGCCTACAGAAAGGAGCTAAACACTGCAAGTCTCTTCTCAAGAGTGAGCTGGGCACTCATCAAGAGGACCTGCCTGCAGAAAGGAGTTCCTACTTCGGGTCTCCTGAGAACTGCTCTGTCATTCAGTAATGCTCTTCTCAGCCTTGTTTACCCTCCAGTTGTCCATGTACCTCATTCTTTTGGACATGAAACAAGAACTTGGGACCTGCTGAACGGGAGAATTGAAAGAACTGTAACAGAAACAGGATTGAAACACATCCACTCTTTTCCATGCTGCAAGCAATGAGAAGGAGAGAAGAGCTGTAGCCCTTTGGGGACCCCAGATCTAGGGGCTCCCTGAGCCAGGGTTGTGATTACCCTTTTGGGGCTCTGCGGTTTTTGGCATCTCCAAGCTTCTAGGTGTCACTTTGTTCCCATTGTCCAGACATGGATGCCTGTAACAGAAGCTGCGTGCAGTGCATCTGGTCCAGCTGCAGCCTCACATGGAGCCGGCACCTGTGTCAGCACCTGGAGCTGCCTGCCCACTGCAGCAGCTGGCATGCCTGGCTGTGTGGAGTGGTTGGACCCTGCACTTGCTTGCCCACACACCTCTTACCTCTTTGTGCCTGACCTGCCCTTGGCAGATATGGGATCCAGGCTGGTAGCATGAACCAAATGCAGCCTGCCAGGACAAGTGGGCAGAATGAGCTCAACAGGTGCAAGCAATACTCAGGCAGAAGGTATCACTGACACAGAGGTTTCCAGCTGATGAAGTGACACCCCAAGAATCTTGTGACATTGATTACTAAATAAATAGTATTGCATAGTTTCTTCATTTGATATGCGTGATTATAGATCTTCCAGGACAAATACATGATACAGTCTGCATTATTGATGTTTTATAGACCCTGGTAGACATCACTGATCAATGACAGCCCTCTGGACAGCCACTACCAATCAATCAGAATGTGTATTTACATTAAAAGCTATTTATCTTCATGTAGTTATTTTTATACACATGTCATATATTTCTTTGTCTACATCTGTCTATCTCAAACAAATTGGGAAAATACTGACACTCATTTTTCTCATCTTCCTTCAGATGTATCCTATTCATAAAGATTTTCTTTGGTGAAACTATAAAGAAGTCCCACTCTCCAGGAATTATCAAATATGCCACCTGTTCAAATGTAAATTTATCACATTTGAAATTATTATGGTTATGTTTATTTCCTTGCTTTTTTTTTTTGATATCTCAAATGAAAATGTAAGTGGGGTTGGATGCAGCAAACCACCATGGCACGTGTATACCTATATAACAAACCTGCACTTTCTGCACATGTACTGTAAAACTTAAAGTATAATTTTAAAAATCGGGGGAAAAAATGTACGTTCTAAGAAAGTCAGAAGTGGTCTGCCTAAACTTTTCTGTATTCCCAATACAGACAAAAGTGTTTAATAACTAGTGGTCACTCAATAAACGTTTGTTCAGTGTAAGCAGTAAACTTTATAAGAAAAGATCCAAGAGCAGGAACAAAAATGAGAGGTGTCTAATTTGTACATATTAGTTCTTTTTATCTGGAGAAAACTTTGTTCAAAATAAATATAATGTGAACCATATATGCACATTTTAAATTTCTAGTAGACCCACCAAAAAATTGAAAAGCAGGTAAAATGGATTTTAAGAATATATCTAGCTTAATATAATATATAAGTAGTATTATTTTATTATGGTATTGATAAAATAATTAATGAGATATTTTCTTATTTTTTGAACTAAGCTACTGAAATCTGGTGTGTGTGTGATACTCACAGCTCATTTTAATGTGAACTAGTCACATTTCAAATGCTTTGTAGCCATAGATGGCTAGTGTCTGCTGTATTGGACACTGTGGATCTAGAATATAGTTTGTGTGGGAGTTTCATGAAAAATGAGCCCAAATGGTAGGGCCATAATTCAGTAAGCATGGCATGGTGAGATATGTAAAACAAATTAACAAAAAGAAGGAGGTGATTATCATTGTGTTCAAGGAAAAGTAACATAATGTATGTTGAAGTTAGAAGATGGCAAGAAAAATTTGGAATTTGGTTGCCATAAAAAAAGTAAGAAATAATAAATATTTGAATTTAAGCAGTGACATAGACTGGGAAGGGTGGGGTAGATAAATCAGATTTAGTAAATATTTGCAAGTAGACATTTATTCAATGCAACTTCACAAAAATCTTCCTATTTTACACCAATAAATATTTCCAGGTTTCATTTAGAGTGATTTGCTGTGATAATAACAGTTAAGAATTATGAATCTTTTCACTCATAAAAGAAATCTTTTTACACCTTTACATTACACTCAGCTGACAGCAAACCTGTCAAAAAGCAAATTGATGGATGAAATATGAACATAACATTTAAAAACACTGAACCTCTTTATATAAAACTTGGTTGGAGGCTTAAAGTAGAAGTATCTTTTGAGGCTACATCTTTGTATTCAACGAAAGATAGAAGAGGCTTCGTGTAAGGGGTGTGCCATCCAAATACTGCCCCATCATTTCTGCTCATACAAAGGCAACAGTCCTTAAAGCCTGACTCAGACCTTGTTTCATCCATGAGTATATAAGACTTTTGTGGGCCTATAATGTACCAGACATTGAGTTAGTTCCCATAAGTGAAATACCTCACTTGACCTACGCTCTCTTGGAGATCCCAACTCTTCTCCAGCTCATTGCATTATCTAAAGGATGTGGGAGGGTTTACTCTCTTCTTTCACTCTATTCCTTTTGGCTAAAGGAAAATACATTAGTTCATGTTTGCCAGAGGATTAATAGATACCAGTGTACATGTAAAATACTTAATATGTATTATTTTATTCTTTCTTGTTGTTGTTTGTTTGTTTCCTTTGAGGCAGGGTCTTGCTCTGTCACCCAGACTGGAGTGCAATGGTATAAGCTCCACTTACTGCAGGCTCCTTCTCTTGGGTTCAAGTGATTATGGACCTCAGCCTCCTGAGTAGCTGGGACTACAGATATGCAGCACTACACCCAGCTAATTTTTATAGTTTTAGTACAGACAGGATTTCACCATATTGGCCAGGTTGGTCTTGAGCTCCTGACCTCAAGTGATCGGCTCACCTTGGCTTCTCAAAGTGCTGGAATTACAGGTGTGATCTACTGCACCCAGCTGTTTGTAACAACTCTGTAATGTAAGCACTATTATTACCCAAATTTTCCAAATAGGAAACTGAGACTTAGACATGTTAAGAAGCTTTCCAAAGTCATAAATAAAGTGAAGAATAGATAAGAACAACATTGGTCTGAAATTTAAAAACAACCATATCAAATATTTTTTTTACCTCAAAAACATTTATTCTATTATTAAACCAACTTAAGGGCAACAGCAATGAGAGTTGCAAAAAGGAGACTGTCCACATGTTAGATAGTCCTGAAAAATTAAAGAAAATGAGAGCTGAGATGATTTGTTTCAGTTGCATTTCCGGGAGAGGCCAACTTTGTTAACTTCTGAAGCAATATTTCAGATGAGGAAAGGGGAAGAGAATGGTAAGTCATTGTTATGCAGATTGCGATAGAGTGAGGAGTTCTGTAGGTAATGCATTCCCCAGGGGAAATTCTAAAACCTCCTCCTCCACCTCATTTCAGTTCTGTAATCTGACTTCTTTGGGAAGTCACTGAAGGAGATGTGAGTAATATAATTGTTATAATTACTCTCCAACTTGAGCCTGATCTACTAGACAGTCGTAGACACTCAGAGTTAACAGTGACTTTATAAGCATGTAATTCAGCATCCTACCATAAACCTTTAATTTTCTCTGATATCTTTGGACAAAGCATACAATTTGATGACCTGAGATTAAATGTTAGTCCCTTTAGTTTATTTTAATTGTTAAATGAATGCAAAAATATAATTGTTAAAATGAATGCAATCTGTTAGTGCTGCTCTGAAATTAGAATAAAGACATGATACATATGTGTATTTATATAGAGAGTTACATATTTTACTTTTCATATAATATGCAGTGACTTGACAATATGGTACATGATTTTTTTTTCTTCTTCTGCACCCTAAGGAGTCCTAATAACCATCTATCTACTCATAAAACAACTCTTTGGCTTTCAGACATCATGGCTGTTATGCCTAACTCTCAGACTTGCTAAAAATAGTTTGAAATTCTTATGAGAAAGAAAGAAAAAAAGAAAGAAAGAAAAACTTCTATCCACTGATAAGATGTTTCTTCTGTGAAGCAGAGAGACTCTCAAATCTTATGGCACCACTGAAGTGTTAAAAGTATAATTTCTCATGTCCTTAATTCACCCCCAACTCGAAGTATGTTTTCTCTCTCAAATCATTCAGAGTAATTTTTGTTACCAATTCAGCAGATGCTCTCAATTTCAGATTCATTTTTTCCATCTAATTGTTTCTCTTTTTGTTTAACAGCTTTATTGAGGCATAATTGATATATAAAGAATAAAACATATTTAATATGTACAATTTGATGAGTTTGGGCATATACAACCACTCATGATACCATTACTACAATCAGGGTAATAGACATACTTCCCAAAGTTTTCTCATGTCTTTGTGTATGTGTGTGTGTGTGTTGTGTGTGTGCGTGCGTAATTGGAGCACCTAACATGAGACTTGCCCTTTTAATCATTTCTTATTGGCCATTTGCTTTCTGTTTATCAGTGTATTGAGTGGTAATTGAGCAGGCCTGTTCTTAGTATGAACCATCACCTCCCTCACTGAAGGTACTGGGCTTCAATTAAAACAAAGAAAATGCAGTGCAGTATGTAAGGGGCAGTCAAAAACGTGTTGTCCAGGCTAACAAGCAATTTTTACTGCTGAGGTTGCAATGGTCTGAATTCATATGTTGAAATCATAACCCCAAGACAATAGTATTAGAAAATGGGGCCTTTAGGAGGTGAGTAGGGCAAAAGTCCTCATGAATGAGATTAGTGCCCTTATAAAAGGAATCCTAGAGAGTTCTCTTCCCACTTTCCCAAAGTGAAATCATAGTGAAAATTTATAAATCTATGAACCAGGAGAGACGATTTCATCAGACAGAATTGGCTGGTGCCTTGATCTTTGACTTCCCAGTTTCCAGAGCGATGAGAAATAAATTTTCTTTGTTTATAAGATACTAATGTATGCTTTTTTTTTGTTATAACAACTTGAACAAGCTAAAATAGAAATTTTGCCCTGAGAAATGGGGGTGCTGCCATCATAAATACCTAAAAACGTGGAAGCAGCTTTACAACCGGGGAATGGGCAGAGATTGGAAGAGTTTTGGGGTGTATGCTGGAAAAAGCCTACACTGCCATAAATGAACCTGTAAGAGTATTTCTGGTGAGAGACAAGAAAAAAAAGAGGAGCACTGTAGACAGAGCCTCAGTCTTCTTAGAGAGTACTTAAGTAGTCCTGAACAGAATGTTGGTAGAAATATGGATGGCTAAGGCCAATCTAATGAAATCTCAGACAGAAATAAAGAACATGTTATTGGACAACGGAAGAAACACAATCCTTATTATAAAATGACAAAAATATGGCTGAATTGCGATTGTATTCTGGTGTTTAGAGGAAGGTAGAACTTGCAAGCAACAAAAATTAGATATTTGATTGAGTCAGTTTTAAGCAAAGTGTTGAAGGAGTGTCCTGCTTTTACTTGACTGCTCCTCACAAAATCTGAGGAGAGATGACTTAAAGACAGAATCATTTATTAATCAATTTAAAGGGGCTGGGTGCGGTGGCTCATGCCTATAATAATCCCAGCACTCTGAGAGGCCGAGGCAGTTGAATCACCTGAGGTCAGTAGTTCAAGACCAGCTGGCCAACATGGCAAAACTCCATCTCTACTAAAAAATACAAAAAGTAGCAGGGCGTGGTGGCACACACCTATAATACCAGTGACTCAGGGGGCTGAGGCTGGAGAATCACTTGAACCCGAGAGGCGGAAGTTACAGTGAGCCAAGATCGAGATAGTGAAAATTTATAAATCTATGAACCAGGAGAGACGATTTCATCAGACAGAAATCAGCCACTTCACTCCAGCCTGGGTGAGGGACAGACTCTGGGGGACTTCATATTGCTACCCCATCATTAACTGGTTTCCTAAATGTCTTCTAGCTCCAGTTACTTCATGTACATGAAATGTTAACTATGATACCCACTTCTCAGGCTTATTGTGAGATTCAAAAGGAATACACATATAACCTTTTAAAACTGCAATTTGGCATATCATCCTAAATATTATCTGCTATCATTTTCATAGCTTTCTGAATTAGATAAAAATATTTGATATGCATAGGTTCAGAAGATATTCCATGACATAAAATTTAAGGGATATGGTATAAGAAAGAATAGTCATCCTGAATGCAGCAGTTCCTGTTATGCCAATTTCATGTCACTTAAAATATGCATTGTAATTTTTATTGGCATGTCTAAGTAAAATTGACATTTAGAAAAGCCACAGTGACTTGACACATTGATTTAGATCAACTCTAAGTAAATTCTGGTATTGGCGGGGGCATTTTAACCATTGGTAATAGTTTGGCCATGTAAAAAGGACTCACTTTTATGAGTAAGAATTTACTTATATGAAGCTCAGGTAGGGATCAAACAGAAGCTAATACGTGAAGCAAAGGCAAGAAAATTGGCAAATGCAGATATCACTCCTCTAATTCTCCCATAGCCAAAACTAATGTATGTGTATTCATATAAAGTGACCAGAGCTATTATTACATGCTGGTTGGTTATATGAATTGTGATACGAATGGAATTCGAAAACACTAGTCATGATTGTTAGCAAAACAGTTTCACAAAAATCAGTTAGCCTTTGCACTGTAAGACATTACAAACTAGCACATTATTTCTGCCTCACAATCCATTTATTTCCCAAGCCTATATAAAATAATTACAATATACAATGAAAGAAACCATATTCCTTAGGAAAAAATCTAGAACTGTCTCCGGAAACTTTCCAAGGTCAGGATTA